AGTCTCCAGGGTTGGCAAGCTGGCACTTTTCATAAGCACATGTCACTTAAAAAAATAGTGGTCAGGCATTTGTACCACTGTGTGCCAGTCCAATGTGTAATTTAATTTAATGTTGGGTCCATAGTGGTATTTCTAAATTGAGGATTATTAACTCTCACGAAAGATGTGTCATGAGACATAAAAGTTGCACCATAGTCTGAAAGGTGCAAAAAACTGCACCACAACTGGTTTTGCTTCTGCTTTCTGTTCCCTTTTCTACACAAAAGCAGAGCAAGGGCTTGGTCAGCAATATGAGAGTATTTCTGTATTGCACAAAACTCCACCTCCAGCGGTGAGTCTCAGAAGTGGTCTCTGCAGCAGTGGTCGCCAATGTTTTTAAGCACAAGATCACTTTTTGAATGTAAATCAGTCCTGGATTTATCTCAAATCCAAATACCTCTGCCCCACCCTCCTCCCTCTGTGAAGATAGGTTACAGGGGAGCGGGACACAGTGACATCAGTGCCCCCTTACCTCTGTCTACCCTACCCTGCACAACAAGCAGGAGGTTCCCACAGGGCAGCTCTGAGGCTCTGGACAGGAGCAGCAGGGCAGTGTAAGGAAAGGCAGCTGAAGTACCTCCCAGCTAAACCACTCAGGATCACCTACCAGAGGCTCCAAGATCTACTGGTAGATCCTGATCTACTGGTTGATGACCACTGCTCTACAGACTGAGGACCCACTGAGGTGGATGATCTACTATAGACCTGCTAAATTGAATGCTGAGGGTACCCCCATCAATGCCGGAACTCCTATTTCTTGCAAGGAGTAAGGGAAGTCGACAGGAGCGTTTCTCCCATCAATCTCCTGCTATGAAGATGGCACCGAAGTGCTGCTTAAGGTATGTCGACTCCAGCTACATTTTTAAGTAGCTGGAACTGCATACCATAAGCCAGGCCTGCACACATGCAGCCTGCTGGGGCTCACTGTGCGGCCCGTGACAACTACGGGCGGCGCGGCCTCATCCGATCCACGGGCCGGGTGGAGAAGCAGAGCACCGCCGGGGAGGGGGAAGTGCGGCGATTCTCGCTGCCGGGCTGCCTGCGTGCAGCTCCGGCGCAAGGAAGCGGGGCGCGAGCCAGAGGGCGAGAGGCTGGCAGATGCTAGGACACTGGTGTTACGTGGCGTCGTGACGTTACGGCCGGTGACTGCCAGATTCAAAAAGGCCCTGGCAACCCTGCAAACTGGAAGGCAGAAGCCAGGTAGGAGAGGGGAAGAGGTTTGTGCTGAGGGGAGCGGGGCAGGGCAGGAGAAAGGGGAAGGCACCAAGGGGCAGGGTGCAAGAGAGAAAAATGCCAGGGGGCCAAGTGGAGACAATGAGGAAAAGGGCAGGAGGGGAGGAGTCAGTGGGAGGGGGGACAAGGTGATGCTGGGAGAGGAGAGGAGAGGGTAAGGGCATTGGGAGCCATATGTTGTGCAGGCCTGATTTAATTGAAAAATTCTTAATAAAGTATCCCCCGCCTCCCCAAACCTACCCTTGCGGCCCGCAGCTATTTTCTTTGGAGTAATATGGCCCTTGCCGCTTTCCAAGTTGTGCAGGCCCTGCCGTAAGCTGACCTTCTGCTATAGTGTAGACCTGGCCTCCGTCTACTGCATGGGGCTTATGCTAGGGTAGTGTTTTTAGCTACTGCGTCTCCATGCACTGTGGTCTCTGCTGCTGGCCCCGTGCCCAGGGACCCAGCTGCTGCCCCATGCTCCTGGGGCTGTGCTGCCAGCTTCGCACCTGAGGTCCTGGCTGATGCCCTGCATGCCCAAGGCTCTGCTGCTGGCCTTGGATCTAGGGTCCCAGCTGCTGGCTTTGAGTGCCAGGGAGCTGAGCTTCGGCTCCGTGCACTGGGGGCTCTGCTGCCAGCCCTGGGTCCCAGCTGCTGGCCCTGCATGCCAGGTCTTTGCTCCCAGCATTAGCTGTGGGGGGAGGTGGGAAGGACAAAGGTAAGGAGGGTGTCAACACCTATACTCATAAAAATGTTCCCATGCTACTGTGAACCTGAGTCTGCAGACCCAGGCTTTGAGACTTGCTGCTGTCAAACAGGTTGTTTGCTTTTTTGCAGAGCAGACATGTCCTCTGTGGATAGGGTTGCCAGGTGTCTGCAGCCCTCTATGGGCCCTGTAGGGTGTGCAGGCCCAGGGCCCGTCCTTAGGGCACACAGGCCCAATCTGGCCCAGCTGTTGCTACTGGCGCATGTGCCGGGCTGTGTAGGGCCCCACGGCCGTGGGGGGAAGGGCGTTGCTGGCCGGCGCTGCGGGAGCCTGGCGTGCAGCGCCTGATGGTAGCTGTAAGAGATGCCGCGCGCCCCTTACAGCTGCCATCAGGCGCCCCCCATCGGTTGGCGCCCTGGGCAGCTGTCCGGCTCGCCCATGCCTCCGTCCTGCCCTGGGTGTCTGGTTTTGAACTGGACAGTCCAGGATTTGAGCTTTCTGTTCTGGAAACAAATTGACAAAATATAAATGTCGGGTATTTTCTAAATAAGATGTAGATTGTGATGCAATGTCAAGTGTGTCCACTATTTTTGTTGGAAGCATCTGGCAACCCTATCTGTGGGTGAGGCCAGGATCCTGCAAATATTTCAATGGGACGGCTTCGGGATATATAGTTAAGGCTACACAGCACCTTGCAGGATCAAGGCTTGATGGAAATGCTTCCTGAATCAAAGAGATCAGTGACGGCCTTACAGAGGCAGGAACAGCACGTTTCCGTAGGCAGCCCTGCGGACCGGGACTTCCCAGTGAAGGCTGCGGCCTGCAAACATCTGACCACGAGACGAAGGCCCTTGCTTGGCTGCTTCCAGCTCCCCCGCCCATCCCAGTACAGCCGGTCCCATTCCTCGCTGCCTGCAAGTCGCGGCAGCTCCCGCAGGGGGCAGGGCCCAGCTGGAGCCACCCGCCCGAGATTGCTGGGTGCAGCCCCAGCTCTCCGGGGCAGCCCCCGGACCCCTCTTGCAACACGCGCGCAGCCCCAGCCCCGGCTCTTCCTGCGCGGCGGGTCTCGTGTCCCCCGCCCCCCTCCCGCGCAGGGCGCAGCTGGGGATTGGCAGAGCCCGGCCCCCGGCTGACTCAGGCGCCGCAACCTGCCCTTAAAGGCTCGGCCCGAGCACGCAGGAAGCAGCTGCCGCTCCGGGACCGCCGCGCTGAGCATGGCCGGGCTGCCCCCGCATCTCGCCCTGCTGCTGCTCTGCGGCTGTCTCTGGCCGGCCGCCGGCCTCTACTTCAGGGAAGGGCAGCACTGCTACAAGCCGGCCCCGCGCAAGCCCCCCGGGCTCAGGTGAGAGAGCTCGGCCCCAAGGGGCGGCTGGCCTGGCGGAGCCACGTGCATCGCTGCTGCTGGGCGAGGGAGGCTCGCAGCCGGGGCTCGGGCAAAGCGCCTGTTTGCCGCTCGCGTGTCGGGGATGTCCTAGCGGGCTGCCTGGCTCGGGCTGCACCGGCGGCGGCTCGCAGAGCCTGCGGGGTCAGGAATCAGCGGGGCTGAAATCCCGCAATGACACCGCCCCTGTGTTGTGAGACCCCTTCAGCCCGCTGCGGCTTCCTTAGCCCCTCCCTATTAACTGCACCTCGCCGGCACCTCGGGCGTTGCTGGCCCGAAGTGGCCGCTAGTAACCGCGCAGAACTGCACCGGACCAGTTAGTTTCGCTAACGAGTTCATTGTCAACCCAGGGCAGCTGGCCTCTTAGGGGCAAAGGGCCAGGACCCTGCGCCTCAGAGGGAATTTGGTGCCTAAATACGTTTAAAGATGTGGACACGGGTGATCAGCGGGTGGGGGAGAGGAGAGGGATTTTCATTGCTGCTAGGTTACTCCTGAGCTGTGCATAGGGGGGAACTAGTTTTGAGAGTAGACGTTTCATATGAACTCTTGTAAAGTGCCACATTGACCAGGCATTTCATGTATGTTAATCCCAGATATGCAGTTCTTACTCAGGGGTGGGGAACCTTTTTTTGGTCCGGGGCCATTGATCTACAGAAAATCAGGAAGGGATGGGAACACACAGTTGAGAAGGGGGGGAAAAACCCATAAACCTTCACTGACGTGGCCCCTAAGAAGGAGAGACACTCCCCACATTCCCCTTGCACATCAGAGGGTAGGGGGGCCCAGACTAGTAGATTTTGTGTGCTCCCAGCCCTTTGGGGAGGCTGGAGTGCCAGCATGGCCCTCCTAATGCCAGGGATCCGATCCAGGCAAAGGGGGGGGTGGAGGGAGGGAGTTGAATCTGGACCCTGATCCCACCCTGAGGGTTGTTTACAAGAATTCTGAGTTAAGTCACAAGACCATATATAGAAGGGCATTAAAGGTCATGGTGACTAGAGCAATCATGTGACCACAAGCAAGGATGGAATTTCACACACATTTTGAGAGAGGGGAAGATTTTTTTCCTTTGTCTCAAAAAAATATAAAGTAGCTCTAGGAAATGGGCTTAACTATGACTATTTTATTTCCATATAGAACATATCCTCGACCTCATGAATACCTGGACATTTCTGAACTTCCCACAAGCTGGGATTGGCGAAATGTAAACGGAATCAATTTTGCCAGTACCACTCGGAACCAGCACATTCCTCAGTACTGTGGGTCTTGTTGGGCTCACGGCAGCACTAGTGCCTTAGCAGGTACTTGTAATTGGGTATTGCCTTCTTGTCTGTCAGTTCTTTTCCAGGACACCCCTACATTCTGAACTTCTCTGGTGGGTATCTTCAACCTACAGGATTATCAGAACTATTAAGGATCATCACTGCACAAGACAAAGGGCCTAACTCCTAAAAAGCTTTGTAAATCTGGGCCAAGGTATCTACCCTAAGACAATGAGAGAGGTGAAAGAAGAGGCTAGTGACGATGTTTTGCATGGTAGCATGTGCTGTAGGAATTCCCCAGCTGGCAGCTATAGAGGCAAACTTATTTATTTTTCTGGTGGCATGTTCCACTGTGGCAGGGGTATCCTTCCTCATTTAGAATTTTACACAGATTAAAAGGGAAAAATAGAAGTGATAAAACTATACTTAGAATGGACATTGTGAAGTGGATGTGGCATGCTCCCCCTTCACTGTACAGGACTCTTTTTCCCCCATTCAATCGGTTAAGCCCCACAAAGCCAGGAGATGTAGGTAGATAAATTATTCTGTCAATACTGTGAAGACTGATACAATTATGACTTCCCTTTTTGGTGGGTGGGGTATTAAAAAAGGGATGCTGGGCCAGCGCCTCAGCTAGAGCTGAGTTTTGGGTGGAGCAGTTTCTGTTGCCTGTGCAGTGCAGCAGAAGCAGTGTGACAGCATGTTGTACTGGTTAAGCTGACATACTGAAGCAGGGGGAAGGCTCCCAGGGATGAGATTTCACAACCATACACTTAGGAAAACAGAAGTACAGATTACATCGACAGTGTACATAGTGCTCTACGAAACACATGCAGATGCCACAGAGCTCATCAATTCAGCTAAAATACAGAAACAGTGTATTTGGGGTGGGGGGTCGTAATACATGTAAGGGAGGAATCGAACAGAACAGAATTGGTTGAGGCCATAGGAGCTGCTGGGGAAACTAATTAGGGATAAAGATGGAGTTATGAAGAACCAGATTAAGGACTCCAAAAATATAGATAATTTAAGATGGGTTTGGTGATGCTGTATATCTGGGAGCTAGATTTCAGTATGAAACAGGCCTACTGGAGTTGGGAGGGGAACAAAGAGAGCAACTGCCCTGGGGTCCAGTGATTCAGTATATCCCAGAGTTCCTGGCCACTGCAGCAACAGCAGTGCCTGGAGCCCTGGGCTCTTTAAAGTGCTGTAGGAGCACCACTCATTGCACTCTGGGTGGCTCTTAGGGAAAGGTGGGAGTGTGGTGCATTCCAGGCAGCACTAGGGAGAGGGTGTATGGCACAGTCCAGGTGATGCTGAGAGCTGGCTACCCTGCCTCTTCTACCTGAGGCCTTGCCCTTCTCAGGAGTGTGAACCTCTGGCCCCTTCCCTTACTTTGCCCAGGAGCTCAGTGAAGCTGTTGGTTCCCCGGTATGAATACAGAAGTTTGACTAGCTTTGTTTTAATAACTATAAACATTCCTTAACTTTAACAACAGAAGGGGTTTTGAATCTCTGCTTCCTTGCTTTTATTGGAGGACTAGGGAAGTAGAGTGAAAGCTCTCTCAGGTCTCAGATGAAGCACTAGGGGTGTCTACTTTCCATAAGGAGCTCTTCTGACAAAAGTCTGATAAATTATCATTGCAGTAGCATTATCTAAGGGTTCCAGTTATGATCATGGTTCCTTTGTAGTTATGGAAGTGAATGGTTAATAGGTTACAAGTTAACCAAGAGATGCTTACTGGTTACAGTTAACTGGCAGAGGCAACCTGGCTAGAGCAGCCCCTCTCTGGAGCACCCACTCCAGCCCAGATGCAGCAAGTGGGTTGGGGGTGGGAGGCACTCCAGCTGGGCTGGAGTCCCCCGCCCATCCCGTTTAATCAGTTAACTTTTTAAACAGTATATTTAACTGGTTAACTAAACAGAATTTTACATTCCATTGTACAAATGTTTGAATTTCCCCACCAAAGAACTCAGTCTAAGTAGACAAGTGGGAGGGCAGAGAAGGCAAACAGGTGAAAGAGCAAGTAAGAGTAAACCAAACAAGTACAACTGGATATAAACATTTGAAAACTTGGCCCTTGGTTTCACTGCTGCTTAAATCTATGCAAATTTGACGTGTCTGACAGAGCCTGGCTCACTGACCTGCTCGGTGACTGGGGACAAATCATTTGACTTTTACCAAAAAAAAAAAAAAAAAAAAGAGAGAGTTATATTTCCAATCTTTGTAAAGGGCTATGAGATCTGTAGATGAAACATTCTGTAGAAGAACCAGGTATTAGTTACATGGGTGGCAAGTTATATAGGCTTGTGGTGCCCCTGCTCCAGCAATATCTTTACACTGGCTTCCCACAGCATTTCACATAAAGTTCAAGGGATCATGGGCAGTGAGTTTTTGGGCCTGTGGTGCCCATGCTTCAGCAATATTCAGAGCTGGGGGCCCTGCTCCACCAATATTTGGAGCTGGGTCTCTCCCCCAGCCCTGCCTGGAGCAGGCCCTGGCCTCCACCTGCTGGCCCCTCCGCAGGTCCTACCACCTTGGCCCCAGAGCATCCCCCCATCCCGTCCCTGCTGTGCGCAGCTTTCAGTCCAGCTCCCCCTTGCCAGCTGCTGCTGCCATGCATGGTGTTTGCAGGTGAGCGGGGAGATGCCCAGGCGTGATGTGAGTCATGGCCCGGGACTTTAAAACTGCTCGGCGTGGCATTGCGCTGCGCGGCCTAGCTCCAGGTTCGGAGTCCTGGGACTTCTGGGGCCTGAGCGCAGACTCCGGCCCTGCAAGGTGGAAGGAAGGAAGGGGAAGGGGTGGGAGAGGAAGGGGCTTGAGCAGAGGGGGAAGAAAGGGGAAGGTACCATGAGACAGGGTGGAGGAGACACAAATGCAAGGGGTCTAAGTGCAGACAACGAGGAAAAGGGCAGGAGGGGAGGTGTCAGTGGGAGGGGGGACAGGGTGATGCTGAGAGAGGAGAGAGTAAGGGTATTGGGGGCTAGGGAAGGGGCCAGAACCAGAGGAGAGAGGCGGGAGAGGGACGGGGGGGGGGGGGGGGGGGGGGGGGGGAAGGGCTGGTGGAGGGGGACAGGTTGCAGGAGGGCGGAGGGCAGTGAGAAGGGTTAACAGGTTACAAGTTAACCAGGACAGCAGAGGAGGGTGAGGAGTTAGGGGGGCAGCAGGCACCAGGGGAGCTGATGGAGCAAGGGGTGGAGACATGGCAGCAGAGAGGGAAGGTAAAGGTTTCTAAAATATTTAATAACAACTTGGGTGCCACAGTGGCACATCCAAACAAGCCACATGAACTCAGTACTGATGCACAACACAAAATTCATTCTCCTCATGGGAGGACACTCTTAGGCTAAGTCTGCACTGGCAGCTTCTTGCACAAGAACACATCCACACTGCCATGTGCGAGCTGTGCTTTTGCACAAGAGCATCCATGGCAGTGTGGACGCTCTCTTGCGCAAGAAAGCTCCGATGGCCATTTTAGCCATAGGGGGTGTCTAGTGCAAGAAATCCCTGCCGAGCAGCCACACTGCCCTCTTGGGCAAGAGAGCTTACACCTGTTAGAAAAGAGCATAGCTCTTGCGCAAGACACCCTTTCTTACCATGCAGTACTGTAAGCTTCCTTGCGCAAGAGCAGGTGGGCAGTGTGGATGCTCTGTGGGTTCTTGCGCAAGAACAGCTGTACTTGCACAAGAAGCCGCAAGTGTAGACATAGCCTTAGAGGGAACACTTCCCCCAGCCTCTCTGCCCCCAAGTTAATGTCACACACATTGGGTTAAAGCAATTGCAGGATAGTTGCATGAGGGGGGGTTTGGTGGGGGCCAAACCAATCCCTGTTGGTTGGAGGATGGTGGGAAAAGTCCTTCGAGAAGGGTGACATGACTTCTGGTCATGTGTCCATCTTGCCCCAAGCATGTTACCTCCAGAGGCCTGGTTAATGGGGGTCAGAGGGTGTGTCTAATGGGGCACCACCAAAAATTATACAAACCTGCCACCCCTGATTAGTTACACCTCAGTGCTTTCATAACTAGCAGATGATAGCCCCAATTAAGGACTGAATTGAAATGTGTTTATCCATATATCTGCCCCTGCAAAACTTAGATGCCATTTTGCCCGCTCAGATTGGGTCATAATTTGTGACCTAGACATTCTGTTGGCATACCTCACTGTAGACTTTTGCATCAAACTGTCTGCAAATATTTATAGAAATGTAGCCGTGTTAGTCTGGGATTCTTACCAACAACCACAGGACATACCACACTAATACCAACCCTGGTACCTTCTCTTGCAACAAACCCCGTTGCCAGCTTTGTCCACATATTCATTCTGCAGATACCATTATTGGACCTAACCAAGTGAGTTATAAGATCAAGAACACATATTCCTGCGCATCCAGAAATATAATCTATGCTATCATGTGCCGAAAGTGTCCGTCTGCTATGTACATTGGACAAACATCTCAGACACTTCGCCAAAGGATTAATGCCCACAAAACAGATATCAGACAAGATCACAAAGAAAAAACAGTTTCTTGCCATTTTAACCAGAAAGGACACTCTCTCAATGACTTGACCACCTGCATTCTGCTACAAAGACCTTTTACATCTGCACTTGAAAGGGAATCCTCTGAACTGTCATTCATGTTAAAATTCGACACTTGCCAACAAGGACTTAACAAACATTTGAACTATCTCACCCATTACCAAGACAGTTTCCCCAATTATCACCTCTAATACCATTAACTCACAAACATCCCACTCTCCCTACCTCTAATATCATCAATTCACAGACACTTACCTTCCTTCCCCCTCCCCCCCACCGCATCCCCCTCCTGTTCTGCAATGTGATTTGTCCTTTTCATATTTGTTCTTTTTTTTAATTGTATCCTTTGGTATATACGGTTGTGACTACTTTCTTCCACTATTTGATCTGAGGAAGTGGGTCTGGCCCACGAAAGCTCATCATCTAATAAACCATCTTGTTAGTCTTTAAAGTGCTACATTGTCCTGCATTTTGCTTCTGCAAATATTTAGATACACAGCTAGGGAGAAAACTGAAACATTTGGCTTGTAATGAGCTACAGACAGTGAAACTAACAAGTATGAATTGCTTATTCTTTTGTTATTACCACAGATCGCATCAACATCAAGAGAAAAGGTGCTTGGCCTTCTGCCTACCTCTCTGTTCAGAATGTTATTGACTGTGCCAATGCAGGGTCTTGTGAAGGTGGAGACCACTCAGGTGTTTGGATGTATGCTCATGACCATGGCATTCCAGATGAGACCTGTAACAACTACCAAGCCAAAAACCAACGTATGGTGACAGATTTCAAACTTATTTCGCATTGTCTGGTATTAGCTTTAAAGGAACATTAGTATAATTTAGTTAACATACCCATTTCTTTCTGCCTTTACTTAATGCTGGTTGCTAGTGTAGCACCTGCTATCTGACTAGGGGCAACATGTTCCCTTAGAGTAGCAGGTTGGGAGGGGCGGGGTGTGTGTGTGTGTGTGTGTGCGCGCGCGCGCTTAATATAAACACACCAGAATCAGACAGCACAGTGTGTTGCCTACATGTCTGAACAATCATCCACTATCCAGGCTGCTAATTTGAACTCTGTAGTCACTGATGTGCATCGGTGCTTCCGTGTGGTGATATTTTAGATTTATCAAGTTACCAAAGCAGAACTTCAGTCTGTAATACTTACAAACAAGTCCCTTTAAATGTTCTATAGCTCTATAGAAACAGTTCAATTATCTGTATACCAAGACACGTATAAGGAAGTAATTTTTATAACCTACAATTGAAACACATGTTTGAAGGCTACCACAGATAAGGATTACATATCCCTGAAATATTTTTGACTCTGGAGACTATCTTAATTAGCAGCTGTACTTACAGCTTTAGTTTAACCTGAAAAAACAAGAAAACAGACCAGTTCTGCCATATTTTATCTTTATAATTATGGGCCCCAAAATGGAATTAAAATTAATATCCATGTATCTGTATAAGTGGTTTTACCCGCAAAAGCTTATGCCTTAACATATGTCTTTAAGGTGCCAGAGAATTCCTTGTTGTTTTTGCAGATACAGACTTATCTGTACCCCTACCCCTTTGTGACTTAAAATTTACCATGAATCATATTTCATTGAATTAACTGTAAGAAGAAAAACACTATCTTGCAAGGGTAATCAAATGTCACTGCTTCTTTATAGCATGTAAGAAGTTTAACCAGTGTGGAACATGTGTTACCTTTGGGGAATGCCACGTGATACAGAACTACACCCTCTGGAAAGTTGCTGACTATGGCTCTATCAGTGGAAGGGAAAAAATGATGGCAGAAATCTATGCCAATGGTCCAATCAGGTAAAGACACAGTAGTACAGGGTAAGAGTTAGCCTGTTAAACTAGAAACAATTTTTTTTATTAAAGTTATCCCAGGAAGCTTGCTGAGCCAGACATAGTGCAAACCTCTTTATGTAGCTTATTTAGTACTTCACAAGAACAGACATTAGCTTCTGAAGACTGATGCGTTACCAAACTTTTGCACAATATCTTATGATATAGACCAACTTAACCTTTCATCTGAAGTGAGAGTTGGTGATAGACACTTCTTTACTCAAATTTATAGCAGGCTAAAGAAGTGTTTGTGGGTGTGTTTTTTTTGGTTACAGTTGTGGCATAATGGCTACTGCCAAGTTGGATGCATACACTGGAGGACTTTATTCTGAATACAACCCCTCTGCTATGGTGAATCACATTGTATCTGTGGCTGGCTGGGGTGTGGAAAATGGAATTGAATTCTGGATTGTCCGTAATTCCTGGGGTGAACCATGGGTTCGTGTGTGTGAGAGAGAGAGAGAGAGAGAGAAGAGATGAGCTCAAAGTGACTGCAAAATGAAATGCACATTTTCAATCTTCAGAAGTTTATTACAAACTTTACAAGTGGCTTGTTTAAAAAAACCTTCAGTCTTCCTCTTAGCCTCAATCTATGGCTTTTTTAATGCACCTGATAACTAGGAAAAAATCTGAATGGAATGGAATGTTACCCAGCCACAAGGCAACAGGAGGTCAGCCTTTGTGATGTCAACTCCTAAATCCTAATGCTGCCCTCATGCACAGACATGGTAAATAGCTTTTAGAACCATAAGACACACAACCATTTGGCTGTAGAGCATAGGAGATCAATTCCTGACTGGAAACAAATGAGTTAATCAGAGAATGGCTATTTCAAATAAACTTGTTGTGTGAATGCTACTCAGTCAGACCTTTTGCATATATCTGCCCAAAGAACTTGAGACAAATGTTATTTAGATGTTGCTAATGTATAAATCTTTTTACCAATACTAATAAATTAATTTATTGTAGGGTGAACGGGGATGGCTGAGGATTGTGACAAGCGCATATAAAGGTGGAAAAGGAGCGGAGTACAATCTTGCTATTGAAGAGGATTGTGCCTATGGGGATCCAGTGTTTCCTTGACTGTTTCTATGGCTTTTGGGATATTTTCTGAACTTTTATTTTAAGGGTTTTTTTTTTTAATTTTAAATCAAGGCATTTTTTTTAATTAAAAGGCAATTTTGAATTTTTGTAGTACGGAATGACTGTTTAAAAAGGAATTATCCCAGATCACCGTTGTTTTTAAAAGTGAAATGAACTGCCTCTAATTTTAACTTACATTACATATTTAAATGCTGCTATTAAGACAAATTTGCTTATCTTCCACTTTAGTGCCTGGAATTTACTTACCAAGCAATTTGATCAGAAAAGTATAGGTACAAATCCTCTCATGGGGGGAGGGGAGGGGGGGAAAAATCACTCACTTCTCAATATTTAATCTGAGGAGAATATTTAGATTTGTTTTACATTTGTAACACAGGAGCTTTTTTCCTTTTGGTATAAACTGTAAAATTTACTCAAAGCAGGAGATGCTTATTTCTTATGAAAACGTAGACTTGTAAAGTATACACAAAGTACAACAGAATGAAGTAAACATGCTACATAAATGCAGAGCCAGTACTTTTTTTTGTTCTCTATTTAAAAACTGTCCTATAGTCACATGCTCTTTCACGAATAATGTGTTTCATTACACACAGATGCTGTCATTTTTATCTGAAAGTGATGCATCAGTGACCAAATCTCTTTAAAACTACTGGAGAACTTTTAAAATAAGCATTAATTGTTAGTGCATGATGCTTCCTTTGATCTAGGCTTTGGCAGTTGGCTGTTCCATTATTCTGGATGAAGACAATGACCATTTTTTTTTTTTTTAAAAGGAGGGGGTTGGGAATAGGGTTCTAATAAATTATACATTTTCATGTATTTTTATATATAAAGAAAGATGGTTTGTCATCATCTTTCCCCCTTATGAAATCTGATGTATCTAGTTCTCTAATGGTGTAAATAACAATCCAAACCATAAAAACATACTGAAACACAATTGTTAAACTGACATTGTTTTTATGTGATGTAATGAGGGAATTTGTTTCTCAGCATTAACTTACTGGTACCTATGTCAGCCTCTTGACAAGATTTAAATAGAATCTGTGCTTTAGTTAAATGCTATCACAAAGTGCTAGGGAAGGATGGGTGAGGGATAGAGCCAACTTCGATGGTAATGTATACTATTAGAGTGAACTAAAGACACCCCCCTCCTGCATAGAAAATGAGTGTCCCATGTCACCAAGAGTCCTGCTTCTGGACTGAGATAACATACTACATGTGTACTGAAGGTCACACTTATGTGGAACAGGGATTAGGTATGCTACAGGACAGCAGGGACCTACTGACTTCTGCATTCCGTCTTCTCAAGTAAAGGAGAAGCTGATCTTCCAGTGTCCAGGAACGGACAAGCTCACACCGTTTTGTTTTTAATCTTAATTGTTCACCTGTGACCTACAACTGACAAAGCTTGATCCTCAGTTACAGTTGTTTCAGAGTGACATGGGTATTACATTTCATAAATTACTAGCTCCATTATTGCCCCACTGATCTCTAGCACCATTACTGCTACTGCTTTAATAAAGTGATACCAGGTCCAATAATTACTTTCAAATCTGAGAAGGAGAAATCTGTATCTTAAACTAGGTGCCTAACAAAATCCAAAGGATAATCTATTGGCTATGATCCATATTAGAATATGCAGCATTGTCTCTTGAACACAGTATAGAATGAGACTATTCCTAGTTCTGAGGTGTTCTTTACTGTTAGCAGTCAAACAAGGACACTAAAATGCTGCAAAAGTAATAGTTGTTACACAATTCATACCTGCAAACTAAAGTTGCATAGGCAGCCACAGTTCTGTCACTGCCTAACTCTTGTAAGCTCAGCTGTGCATCCTGGCTCTTTAAATGTGTTTTTTTTCCAGTTAATTTTAGGTTTACTGAAAATATATGTTCCACAGTATGAAGCCAGTTGACCCCCACAAGTCATCAGGTAGCTTGTCCCTTGTGGTTCACACCAGAGACCTTTTTCTTAATGGCCAAAATGTAGTTGTAGGAACAACTCTAATTTTGATGTTTCCTAGCTCTTGAAAGCTCAGCCTTAAGGTTCTTTTTAACAGTAATGGGGAGAAATTGGCTGTCAGCCTCTGTGAATCCACCACTGGTAAGGAATGAGGTAGAATAAATTATAAACCCTTTTACCCTCCACTCCTCATTGTCCAAGCACTAATGAGGGAGAACACAAAAGCAAACCATCTCTTTTCACTCCAGAGACCAGGAGCAGCGATTGCAAGGTAAGTTCTGTTCATCTGCTTCAGCCAGGGAAGAAGCATGCTCAGTGCCTCCTGAAAACTGCCAGCCTCTTAACAACCCTTAACTGACTGTGCAAGCTGAATTTTCAGAAGCCAAATGTGTGCATTTTCACAGGAACAGTAAAGAGTATTTGCCTGAGAATAACATGATTCTTGTTTCAACACACACTAGAGCATCTCCGTGAAACAGTTTGAGAAAATTCTCACACGAGCAAAATATGCAGCATGGAGACCTGCAATCTGAATGGTTATAAAGTTATAAGCCATTGGGGAAAAAAATGTATAATGGAAAGTGTTAGGCACATTGACAGCTACTTATATGGCAGTAATGTCAGAGTATGTTGTGCTGTGCACTGTATGAAAAGAACAAAAGCTTACAATTTAAGTGTAATATGAGAGAGAGATACAAGATGGCAGAACAGAAAAATAATATTGGTTCACGTGGTAAGCACTGGTCTCAGCAAACCAGTAGCCTAGCCATTTTTGTAGGCATCACAGCAATGGACATTTTTCAGGAGGGTAAGATTATTTTCATGTTTACAGCAAGCTCCTTCCAACCATGAGGGGTAGCAGAGGACAAAGCATGAAAATGATTGCTTGGCAAGATAACAAGGGGACAATGGAGACCAATCCAAGGCAGGAGTTAATGTCTGAATAGCAAATGAGAGATGGTAGTAGGGTAGGTATTAGCCAGGAAAGGCTTTTACAATAAAGACAAACAACTTCTGTTGGAGAAACAGAGAAGGGGGAGCTTATGGAAGAGTTAAAGTTATCCTTTCTACCTATTATACTCCAATTTTAAATGTTGGCAAAGCACTTTAGAATGCTCTAGCACCTTCCATTTAAACAACTATGAAGCATTATTTATACAAAAAAGTCACCACCTTTGTGCAATGTCCCAGTGTTATGGTAGTAATTAACCAAAGATACTGCAGCAGCCCTTTTTCTGATTGCATTTATGAACCACTGTCCCCTTTACTTAACTACTCAAGTTAATTACAGTCTGATGGAGAATCCCACTTGTATTAGGGACAGCGAGGGAGATAAGAAGGTTGTTGCAGTTCTGCAGAGTCCATTAATCAAAAGGCAGGTTATCTTGTGTATTCATGCCTGCAGTATCTCAATACCAGAGACTCATGAACACAAGTTTATAATCCACTTAACTGGTTATTTTGAGGGTTTGGTTTCTTATGAATGTCACCTTGAACAATTCTGTGCCAATTATTAATTACAAGTGCAATTTATCTGGATGAAATTATGGCATGTGGATAACATTCCTTAAAATGGCATGACAAGTTTAGCTTCTCTGTGCCCCTATTTTTTTTCCTGCACAAGATTGTGTGCAAAATAACAAAACAAAACCACCATTTGACACAGTTATGTTTTAAAAAAGCTAACCATAAAAGAGGTCTCTGTCCAAGTACTGTTTATGAAAAAATAAATTAGAATCTCAGACATTTATTCCCACTCAATTTCTCTATACTAAATTACTAAATGCTAAAGTAATATAAAAAGCTACATCAAACTGTGTTTATATATACATATTCAGATAATTTAACTGAAGTACCAACTCTGACAGGGTAATGAAGCTAACACAATTAAAAACAGAATTCTGAATTAAGCTTCTTCCACCTAAGATGTGTCTTATCAGTACAAAACGAGCCTTGATTATTTAATTCAGTTTGTATTCCATAATATACATAGTTTTTAAGGAAGTAATTTTGTAGGATATTCAGAATACTCACTTCTGGAAACTAATGAAAAAAAATCATCATGGGTTCTCTGAAGCACAGCACTAACCGTGTTCATCAAATCACAAGATCAAAGCCTGCAATATTCAGGATTACCATCACTAGAAAAGTCTGCAGAAGGGTTTTTTTTATTTATAACTGATTTCCATTCTTCAGCTTCTTATTTTTATCACATATATAGAGCGAGTGTGTGCGTTTGTATATAATATAGACAGTCAGTAGAAAAAAAATTCTACAAGCTTGTAAAGTAACTGAAAAAACATTCCTTGAAATAGGACTGTTTCTCATGCTGTGCTTAAGATGGCAAACTGACTTTTTTAATACAGATATCCTGAAGCATTATTCAACTTACAGGTTGACCCTTCCCTCAAGATGCAATAGAAGATCTCCACAGTATGGATCAGCAAGCATCTCTACCCTTCCATTGTGTTATTTAATTGCAGAACACTACTGGTGGTAGGCATGTAAAAGAAGTGATAGTCCATAACCTCAGTATTCATGGTACTCTGGATTCTTGTTTTTCGGCTCCTTAGTTCACCATAATGAAGTTTGATTTGCAATGAGCTTAAAGAAAAAAGAGATTTAAAAAATTGTTCAGCATGTTTTTATTAGAACTACTTTCTTGTGCAAAGTCTGCATTATCCAACTTTGACAGTTCAGCTACTTAAAGTCCAGGGAACAGATTGACCCTTTTTGGTGTCAGGCATGACTGTACCATGGAGACTATAGGAAGGGACTTGCGCTGCTATACAGAAGCCTCTCCAGAACTACTGAGGAAGGACTTTCAAAGGAAGTCATATCTAGTCATCCCCAGTTAAAGGGTACGTCTAGATTACATGCCTCTGTCGCCAGAGGCATGTAGATTAGGCTACCAGACATAGTAAAATGAAGCGGCAATTTAAATAATCGCCGCTTCATTTAAATTTACATGGCTGCCGCGCTGAGCCGACAAACAGCTGTTTAGCTGTTTGTCTGCTCAGCGCAGCAGGCATGTAAATTTAAATGAAGCGGCGATTATTTAAATCACCGCTTCATTTTACTATGTCTGGTAGCCTAATCTACATGCCTCTGGCGACAGAGGCATGTAGTCTAGACGTACCCAAAGGAAAATCTCTCCACATGGAAAAGGAAAATCTCTCCACCTGGAAAAGGAAACAGGAATGTATGCAGTAATCACTGTGCAATATATTCTATTACATTAAATGTAATCCCCCTCCCATTAAGTATCTACAGAATGTAACATGAGTGAAGAGAGAACAAACACTTCTTACCTATGAATTCTGTGACAGGGTCATGTTCACCTTCCGTTTTAATAGTGCCTGCGATGCTTTCGTTCTCCAAGATTGGAAGGAAAAGCTGCACAAAATCTGAGGTATATGGAGGAGCAATTACATCGAGAACCTGAGAAGTCAGAAAACTATGGGTTACTGCTCCAGTTTGGTGATTGGTATATTGACTTGGGTCACCCACCTCCCTTAAATCAAACTAATGGTATGTTACTAATTCACATTTTTTACACCATCTTTAGTCTCCAGCAGTAGCTTAGGCTATGTATTGACACCGTTCAGAGATGCATAAGCTTGCTGATGTCTGTTTAGATCACTACAGGAACACCTGCCCTCTGACAACCGTGCCCCATGTCCTAGTGCGTGTCCAGTGCTAAATAAACCTTTCAGAATCTGGTATGTCTTGAAGTATTTATAAAATCAGCAGTTACTAATCTCAACCAGTGGTCTAATCTAAACAGATATAAAACCTACATTAAATCTCACTGGGGTCTACGTTAGTTGTCCCTTTTCAAAGCAAAACCAACAAAAGGAGCTACATGTATGAAAGTGAGCATTTGACCTCAGTAACAAAGTATCTAATGAGTGAGATGTCTGTGTCTAGTTTCTCCAGACACTTGCGAATATAACCAACGACAGGTAGGACATATCCTCGACTGAGTAAGTGAACCATTCTATCCAGAAGGGTTTTCTTCAATTCTAGCTGAAAAGACAAGAGAGGGGAAAAAAGTCATGCGTTTGAATCAGAATCACCTTCTAAAAAAGGTGTTATTGTTCATCTCTATCAATTCAGGTCCAGTAATTTTTTATGACACAATACTCCTGAAGCAAGCTTTATTGGAATAGTGGGGCAGCAAGATCAGTGCATATGAATCTAACTAGCAGATAAGGAACAACACAAAGAACAAACCATTTAAGTATCACCTGTTCCATGACATCAAGTTGAGAGTGTTCTGTTTCAAAGAGCTTGACAAGAAGTTGCAGAACCTGGGGGTGGAGCAACTGATGGCATGTGCTGATCTGCAAACATGAGGCAGCATTAAGATCACCACTACTTCCAATTTAAAAGACAGTTACTTAAGCAGATTTATATTTTCAGTTACTGAGCCAGTGCTCAATAGAGAAATCCTTTAGCATTGGATATATAAAACTGCCTTTCATCCCTTTGGTGTCTAGAGTGGCCCACTCAGTGGGATTTGCCCCAGGCAATTCCATGACATGGTACCAAGCAGTTAACTCAGGATATGGAGATGGATCCATTTCAATAAGTTCACTAGGTTCCAGTAAACTGACTGATAAAATCCGGTGCGTGACTTCAGTGGACTTTGGAGCAGATCTTTAGAATCATTCCACTCACAAACCTAAAAAATGCCATTTTCATCAACATACAATATGTCCCTTAAGATATTACCTCATCCAGTAACGCCAGATGCACTGGAGTGTGATCAGTCTGAAGCTGAAAATATCGTGGTTCCGACACTGTCCAGTCCACCCACTTCAATACACCCATTGCCACCACAGGAAACCTAAATAGAATAAGCACCATTAGACAAGCTGATTTTAGATACTACATTCTAAAGTGGGGTCTTAGTCTTGCCTATAATCCATCTAAAAGTTTCATATTTAGCTTAGATTGGAATTAATAAGAGAGGAAAAGAAATACTCTTCCTGCTACCAGCATGTTCAGAACAGGCTCCACTGATAAAGTAAAGAGAGACATGCAGCCTAAAGAAATGTATTTTCCCTTCACGAGGATGGCCCCATAGCAGACAATGGTATGTCCCATACAAGGTGGTCAAGAAAATCTCTCTCCATGTAATCTACTGTAAGGCTGAGCAGGCCCAAGAATATTCCCATCAAGCTACTCAGGAGTTGTACTGGAGTAATAAAACGGAGGGAAACCACACTGACTTGATTAGAGACTGATCCCAATGGGGCATATTTGGAGCTCCAATGTTGCTTACTAGGGATGTTAGATGTAATGTAATTGAAAAGTTGTTTAATCACATGAAATTTGAAAGTCCTCGGAGGCGGGGCTGGCAGCCAGTGCACTATGGTCCCATTCTCAGAGAGCCCACTGCTATCCCACATTGCTGCCTCTCCATTAGAGGCAGGAGCCACTCAGCAAGGGGAGCCGACTTAAAAACCAGCTTCCTATGCAGATCAGCTCGCTTACCACCCCACACTGTTGCCTCTGATGCAACCTGGGGTGTGTAGGGTGGCAGCAGCCCCTGTTTGTGTGGAGCTCGGGCCCCTCCCACAGACAGGGGCTGCTGTGTTGGAGCAGTCTCTGTCCGTGGGGAGCTTGGACCTGCCATGGACAGAGGCTACTTCGTGACAAATCTCCCCCCCCCCATGCCCCCACACTGCTGCCTCTGATAGAGGTAGCAGCACGAGGTGAGGGGAACCAGCACCAGAGGCAGTGCTGGGGGAAACCAACTTTTAAGCCACCTCTCCCCAGCACCAGCTCCTGCCTACTCCCCTGCCTCTACAGGAGGCAGCAAGAGGTGGGCAGGCGGGTCAGTGGAGCCAGAGAGCAGGCTTCCTGCATATTCTGGCTCCTGCCTGTCCCCCTCATCCTCCATCCTGCTACCTCTCTATCAGAGGCGGCAGCACAGGGGCAGATGCAGAGGCAGCAAGGAGGGAATGCATGTAGTTGATAAACCCAGGCTTATTGGTTAATTGTGTAGTCATCTATATGTTGACATCCCTACTACTTGCATCTTGCAAATGAGGTGATAAGACACTTTTTTCACATATATATTCAGAATTATGGTACTTCTAATACTGGCCAACAGAAAGCAACTGCTCTGGCAGAGTAAGCGGTCAACAGAGACAGCAATAGCTTCCCAGTTCAGCATTCCCAGAAAGTTTCTTTTGGGGTCCTAGTTATCTATCCAAAACACAGCAATTACCTCAAGAATTATTACTGAGAAATACACCTCCTCACGAACAGAAATTCTGAAGACTGAAGGCATTCCACAGAAAAACATGTTCTCTCAGTGCAACTACATTATAAAATACAGAAGGAAAAGAGATGCAAGGAGAGACAGGAGACATCTAAGTAACAATCCTCTGAAGCCAGTGACGTGTAGCATTAAAAATATAAAACAGAGCAAACTGCAGCCTGCATCATTTGCTTTCTTTTATTACAATGTAAACTGTACTTTCTTGTTAACAGAAAGGAGTTTCAGCTCAGGGACAGACTTTCAGCCTACCTGATACACTGGTAGAGGGTGCTCAGTTCTGCAACCAGCTCTGAAGCGCCTTTGTTCTCATTGCAGCACAGATTGTGAACAGTTTCAACAGCTTTCGAAGTCGATTTGAGCTCATCTTTGTTTATATTTACTCTCTTGTTCTGAAAATATTTCAAATTATGCTCTGAATGCAAGAGTTGAGAATTTACTGGGAATTGTTGGCTATTTAGAGAAATAATTATTATAGGACATGTCTCTCAGGTTATGTCTAGACTGCAGGTTTCTTTAGGAAGAAGCTTTTCCAGAAGAGATGTTCCAAAAACACTTCTTCCAAAAGAGAGCATCTACACAGAAAAAGCGCATTGAAAAAGCAATCTGCTTTTTCGAAAGATAGCATCCACACTGAATGTACGCTATCTCGCATTTAAGATGTGATTACTATGGATGCAGTGGCCACCAGGGCACCTGTGCTTTTTCCTCTTTCCTCTTCTTTCAAAAGAACTCCCTCTTCCCCGTCCACACACACCTTTTTCTGAAAGAGCTCTTTCGGAAAAAGGCTTCTTCCTCATAGAAAGAGATTTACCAATGTTGGAAAAAAAAACCTGTTCTCTTGATTTTTTTTTCGAAAGAACGCGATAGCAGTGTATACGTAAATGAAATTTCTTCAGAAAAACGGCTTTTTCCAAAAAAATTCTGCAGTGTAGACATATCCTCACCTAGCTTTACCTTTGTCAATTCTGAAATGTATATACAATTTGTGAATTAACAAACGTATAGATGAGTATAAAGTATTAAGAATGTTTTTCTTGTATTATTACCAGGATTATTTTCATAATTTTAAATTAATTAAATTTGCTTTTAAAAGGAGAGTTCAGATTTTCTAGCATAGCACTGACCTGTAATTGCTACTAGAGCGTGCCTGGGAAAAACACCCTCTGTGGTCTGGATCCAGCCTGCCAAGCCACTGAATCTGGCCTGAGGATGCAGCAGGGAGCCTCAGGCAGACTCCTCTGCTTACCCCACCCCTACACGTGGCTCAGAAAAGTGGCTACTGGGCCTTTTGTGTTTCACAAACTGTCAGCATAGGGAAGGGGACAGTGATGCTTCACAAGCTGTTCCTACCCCCAGCACAATCCCATTGGCTGGTTTTTGCCCAGTGGGAGCTGCCTGTTTCAAGAACAGGCACCCACACAAAGCACCACTCCCCCCCTCCCCTGCCAGACTCCCTCCACATGGCCCCTGCAACCTGGAGGGGGGTGAGCAGGGGCAGGCTCCTGCCTGAGAAACGTGCTGGGCTGCTGAATGTGAGTCTCATAGGTAAGTCTCCTGGCCAGAGCCTGCCTCTGGCACCCTAATCCCTTCCCTCCCAGCCCTCGCCCCCCCCAATGTTATCCCGTTACCCCACATAACCCAAACCCTCTGCCTCCCTCCTGAGCCCATACCCCCTCCCCGACCCTGCACTCCAATCTCCTGCCCCAGGCCACAATCCTCTCCTGCCCTAGGTCACAAACCAAACTACTACACTATAACCCCTGCCCTAGGTCTCAACCCAAACCCTGCACCCCAAGCCCCTTCCCTAGGTCACAACCCAAACCCCTGCACCCCAATCCCGTGTCCCAGGTTACCATTGCCTCCTTCACCCAAACTCCATTCCAGACATCACAGGCCCTCCTGCACCTGAATCCCTTACCCCAAGCTCCCTTCTGCACCCAACCTCCATCCCAGACTCTGCACCTCCTCCATTAATATCAAGGAAGAGTGTGGCACTTGATCACTTTCCAAAATCTTGGAGTGGCCCCCCATCAAACATTATTGCCCACCCCTGTACTATAGGATATAATGGCAAACATCTAATTCCAAACTTTTACTCTACTGATCTAATCTACAGAAGACCTGGAGTTCTACATCTATCAGGAATGTACTTGGTCCTGCCATGAGGACTTGATGACCTCTCGATGTCCCTTCCAGTTCTAGTGTTTTATGATTCTATGATTCCCACTTTTTCAGTTGGAGCTGGGAGCATTTAACTCTTCTGAGAAGTCAGGTGCACTAATTTTATGGAACAAATAAGTCTGGATTTTCCTTAAATTTATTTATATTAATGCATTGACTTGAACTACTGCACAAAGACTATGATGTTACCTTTTTCCATGTCTCTACCACACTAGCTGCATATGCTAATATGTGGATATACTTGTGTTTATGGTCCTGATTGATCTTAGCCCCTGGCTTAAATAGTGATTGCATAAAAAGGTCAAGAAATGCGGGTACTCGAATCTGTGAAGGAAAAGAATAGGGTTCAATAATGCATATTTGTCATATTTTTAAAGGGGACCAAATCAAACTGTTAGCACAAAGTGAAGGATACAACGAATAGCACAGACATTAAATTTTCCTGTTTATTACTTGAACTCCACACATAATCAAGTAGTTAGAAATCTAAAGAGTACCATTTCCACCTGTAACTAACTGTGACCATAATAGACTGGAGATATAAAACTGTAAGTCATTTTTTAAACTTTGGCCTAATAGATCTTTTCTATATTCAACATCTGGAAAGTGTTCTAAAAGCATTCACAATTAGATGCTATAAATAGCATGCTCAAATTTCTGTATCCCTTACTCTATGCTGAGTAACTCAGTGCTAGCAAGGAGCAGCTTTTACTATCATGTCTTATTTTGGTGCTTGTATAGCACATTGTGCAATGGGGCCTGAAGCCCTGATTAAGGCTCTGAGATGCTAATGACTAGGGATGTGAAAGTGTAACCCTGTACATGGTTAACCGATGAACCTGGGCTCATTGGTTAACATGCACAGTTACTGGCAGCTCAGCCCTCACCCCCCCCACAGCAGCAGTTACTCGGTTACTAGAATAAACACACATTTCAGCAGTTACACATTAACTTGAATAAATGCTTTTTAATATCACTACTACTGACAAAGAAATAAAAAGAGAAACTTAACAGTAAAAAGAGGTAACTACGAACCAGTTCTACTGGAGGTGGGTCCATGCTTGTAAACATTTTGAATAGGACTGTGATGTCTGCTGGATTCAGAGCTCCTTTGGATAACATGGCTCCAAGTGCTTGACACGCTCGAGGATAAGAGGCTGCAGTACCCAGGGCTAAAGTGATCTGACTAGCATCATGGCCTCTTGGTAAAGAGCAAGACAGACATGGGCATTATATTTTTCTTATAAGGAAAATTCATACATGTTAATTTTAGCCTCAGAAACACATAGATAGAATAATCTAGCAACCGTGTGCAGAAGACAGCCTTAGTAAGATAATACAAATGTGGCTAGAATAAGTAGGAAATAAAAGATTCACATTAGGGATGTGAACATGCAGTCAAGTATACAATTAACCAATAAGCCTAGGTTTATAGGTTAAGCTAATCGACTACTTCTATTTCCTCCACCCCTTGCTGCCTCTGATACAGAGGCAGCGGGGAGTGGGGGGAGAGTTAAGCAGGCGCCAGAGCTGGGGGGGGCGGCTTAAAAGCCAGTTCCCCCCAGCACTGGTTCCACAGTACTGCCTGCCCCGCCCATTGCTTCTTCTATCAGAGGCAGCAGCATGGGCGGAGGTGGGGGGGGAAGGAGGGAGGCGGGGAGAACGATGACAGAGGAGGCTGCCACCAACCAGCCCCCCCCCCGCACCT